CTGGTTTGAAGATCAGGTATCATCCTTTTCAAGCTCTATCAATGCAGCATGAGGGTCACATTAGGCCCATCCAGCAAGTAGAAGAGGGAAGAGAGGAAGAGAGTATAGAAGACTCCTTTATCCTTGACTACTTCAGTGTGAAAACACTTTACTTTCACAAGCATACGCTCATGTACTTCAATTATTCAGAAGTCTGTGAACTCTTCGTTATATAAAATACAAATATCATAAAAACCTAACAATATAAGAATGATTCTGGAATCTGACATAATAGTTTATGCCTATAATCCCAGCTATGGGGGATTATCTTACTTATGAGACATAGGTGGGAAGACTGTGGTCTGAAGCCAACTCTGGGCAAAAAGCTCAAGACTCTATCAAAAAGAAAAACAACAATTACAATGAAAAGTTGAGGGGGCGATTCAAATGGTAGAGCACTTGAAGCAAAAAGCTTTAAGTGAAAACCTCAGGACAGCTAAACACATAAATATACATACATACATACATACAAGATTACAAAAACTTGGAGGTGACTATGAGATATTCACAGAAAAGGAGGCAGCCATATACTACAAGAAGCTACATACTTTCATTTTGTCTGAAATAACTTCTCATTTTATCAAGAATCCTTTGTTTGCCCAAATTAACCTCATATGCAATATCTGGAACATATTAGATCTTCAAATACCACTTCTGGTTTTCTGGTGCTTAACTGGAGATGAGAGTCTCACAGACTTTTCTGTCCAGGCTGGCTTTGAACCGTGATCGTCAGATCTTAGCCTGCTGAGCTAGGATAACAGGCGTGAACTGCCAGCTCCCAGCTACATACATGTGGGCTTTTTAAGACTATATTTTAGCCTACTATTTTATGGGGAAGTTAGAAATGCATGCATGTACTCTGGGATCAATGAGACTTTTCACAGGCAAACAGAGGACTGAAGAAAATTATTCAAAATGTTTTGCTGTAGCCAGCCAGATGCTTTCCATTGCTCCTAATTACTTCCACTCACTTCTTCACTTGAGTTAGGTTGTCTTAAGTTTTTGTTTCCAAAGCGCAGCTTTTATCTCCTTGCAAGAATGCCTTTGTGAGTGATTTTTTTTAATCTACAGTTCATATCTCACTTCCCATTTCAATCTGAAGCTTTAATACTGTTTCCACAGTTACAAGACTTACTTAATCGTAGCCCTGGGAATTGAGATCTCCAGTGTGTACACCACCCCCTTGGCTCTCCATTCCCAGAGTACATCATGGTACCAAATCCTTCCCCTGGGGATGCAAGGGCACTGCCAGCCTGCTTGCCCTACCTGACAAACACGATTCGTGAGCCAGAAATGAGTAGTTTCTCATCTGTGTTTAGGAAACCCATCTGAAGAAAGCATCTTTGATCTTGTAGAGGAAAGCCCTAGACAGGCTCCAACACAGTGACTTCTCTCTAATGGCAGCTTCTGCAGTCTGGGAAAGCAACAGGCAGGCCAATGAGGGGAAAGGAAGTCTCTGTATCTCCCAGCCACCAGGTAGACTGGGTTTTACTAATCTCCTGGGACTAGCAGCACATAGATATAAAATTCATGTTTAAAACTATACCTCTATTTTTTCCTCATCACTACATTTCTAAAATCCTCCCAGTCTTTCCAGGGTTAGCTCAAGTTTTAATTTCTGTATTAAATTATGTAATTATATACTGGAAACATTTTCAGGCTATAGAAAGCATATAAATAATGCAACAAGCCCTTGTGTACCATTACATGACTAGTTTTCATTATTTGTTTTCAGTCATTACTTTCTGGGAGAAGAAGGTCATCTTTTTGTTGATGGTGGTGGTCATGGGGGTGAACAGGGCCTGGGGACTGTCTCTGAGCTTTTTTTGCTCAAGACTAGCACTCTACCACTTGAGCCACAGTGCCACTTCAGCTTTTTCTGTTTATGTGGTACTGAGGAATCAAACCCAGGGCTTCATGCATGCTAGACAAGCATTCTACCACTAAGCCACGTTCCCAGCCCAAGAAGGTCATCTTTTACAGAAACTCAAGTCAACTTCCTCAAGTGACATAGAAATGACTGTGACCCAGGAGGGAAAGTAAATTAGAAACCTGAGCTCTCTTTCATCTTGTGTCTGGAAGCCTCCGCCACTTCTTTTGACCCACCCAGACATTGCCACTGACTTTATCTATGGTAAACTCCAGAGCTAACCCACCTGCGAAATAAAATGACTTTCTAATGGACACACCTGACCTCCTGATAGGATGAAGACCCCGCTGGGGGTGAGCACCCAGACACGCAACTGATCCAGTGATTTCTATTGGTTCAGAAAAACTCTGATACAAATTTGTTTCCTCAGAATTCTGAAGAAAGACATTTTCCTCCCATTCCTTGTTTAAGGTTGAATGTGTCCCCTTAAAATTCATATATGTACATATGACCATATAAAATGGTGCTTATTGAAATGAACTCCAAGAAATGGAAACAAGAGGGTATTTTTATTATTATTGTACTGTTTGCAGTTATTTCTCCCCTTCCCCACCTTTGTTTTATTCCTTGTTGTCACTGTTTTTGATTTCTGTACCCTTTGTCTTGTAGATAAGTTTATAGGATTTGGAGAAGGGAAGGGGAATCACAGAAACAGTGGGACAAAGGGTGAACCAATGCAACTAGACATATGTTGGAAATGAACTTTACAACTTGAGGGGAAGGGAGTGGGGGGGAGAAAATGAGGGAGGGGGTAACACTGTTCAAAAAGGAATGTGGGGCTGGGAATGTGGCTTAGTGATAGAGTGCTTGCCTAGCATGCTTGAAGCCCTAGGTTGGATTCCTCAGTACCACATAAACAGAAAAAGCTGGAAGTGGCGCTGCAGCTCAAGTGGTAGAGTGCTAGCCTTGAATAAAAGCAGCTCAGGGACAGTGCCCAGGCCCTGAGTTCAAGCCCCAGGACTGGTCAAAAAAAAAGGGATGTGCTCATTACCTACTCATGTAACTGTAACCCCTCTGGGCATCACCTTTACAATAAAATTTAAATCAAAGTAAAAGTTCCCATATTGGCATTCCAACTCCCTAGTACTGAAAATTTGTAAACTTATTTAGAAATTGGTTTGTCACATATATTACAAGGAAGTCTTATTGGAGCGGTGTAAACTTCTGATCCACTATGGTTAGCACCTTTATGAAAGAGAAAGCATGGGCACAGATGGTCAGAGAGAGAAGAGTGTGAGACACAGAGAGAGAGAGAGCAAGTGTGTGATGACAGAGGCAAAGACTGCAGGTCAAGTAATTGCTGACAATCAACAGAAGCTAGAATTCTCCCTGACAGATTAACAAGGGGACATGATCCTGGTGACACATAACCTCTATAAGACATATGCTTCTGTTGTTTTGCACTAAGCAAAATAAAGATAAGTAAATAAACATTTTAGAATTGATAGTGGTGGTTGATGAAGCTTTACAATCCATCCCATAAAATTATCCTTTCCCCTCTGACTAGTTTTAGTCAAGTTTGACTAAACTTCTGACAAGTTTTAGTGCCTGTCTTTGAGTTAGTTGTTACGCAGAGTTTTTCAATAGTTCTGCCCATTTTTGGATTTCAGTTAGCCTAGCTCAAGCCTCAGGGCCCTTCTCCCAAAGCAAGCATTAAAAGACTTTAAGTTGGAAGTGTAGCTCAGCCCACCAACCTGACCAGAAACCATTATATTTGTTTTGCTCCTCCACTCTGCATTTCCATAGCATTGAACATTTAGTCATCTTTCCAGTTACTTATTTTGTACCAACATTATGTATAGTTAATATATTATTTCCTAAAAGATTAAAAATTCTCAAAGCAGTATCCTTCTTTTAGAGAAAGGCTGTTTGAGTTCCTATTCTATTGCATACATTTGTAAACCAATCACTTGTAAGACAAGTATGTACTTAAAAGTGTACCTCACTTTGTAGAAGAGGCAATGTTGTAGTCTTCCAGCAGTTACTGACAAACTACTATTACCGAAGCAGTGAATTCAGCATTATAAGAGTATAAAGATGAGCCGGTATCCATGGTTCCTGCCTATAATCTCAGCAATTTAGGAGACTGAGATATGTAGGATCAAGGGTCAAAGGCAGCCCAGGTACAAAAGTTCATGAGACTCCATCTCTAAAATAACCAGCAAAGAGAACCAGCTGAGAAATCAAGCTGAGTACCCTAGTACCAGAATATATGTGTGTGCGTGTGTGTGTGTGTGTGTGTGTGTGTGTGTGTGTAATGCATAAAGATTTGGTTTCCTTATCTTGCAAGCATCTATCCTAAAGCATTATGATGCATTGTTGAAAATACAGAGTGGACTACTTCATGATTTAAGCATAGAGCTAGCCCTCGGGACTTAAATTCAGTATTACTAATATATCACAGATTGATTTGTATTTTAAGATTTTCTTAAAACGGTTTGATTTTTTCCTAGTGAAAATCTGAATAGCAAATGTTTTCTGAACATTAAGAATTGTGTACCTTAGACCAAATCATGAGTACTATTGGCTTCTTAACTAGACTTTGAAAATGCATTATTGTACTTCATTGATGCTGGCAGCAAATCATCACGTAGAGAAAGTGCCACCTCAAGCTGTGTGGAGCTCACACCATATCTTTCTCTGTGATTGTGTGTGAACGCAAATTAAAAGTGTCCTTCTGCTCATGTAACTGAAATACACTTGGCCACAGATGACCACTCTGTCATCTGCACCTGAAGGAAAGTAAAAGATCAAGGTACATGACACAGAAATTCTTTATGAGTTGATCGCTTACTTGTGTTTCTTACACGACTGGACAAACTGCATTATTATATGCCATTTTGAACTAACACCAGTAACATGTTATTTAAAACTTCACACCCTTTGATTTCAATTTACGTCAAAATTAACCAAGCCCCCTAGCAACTTCCCAGAGTCAACCAAGTTGGTGTGGTTTATCATTAGTCAAGAGCTGACTGTCCAAAGGAAATACTTACCTGAATTGAGATTTCTTTTTGTTTTTATTTTCCAGATTCTACAAATGGATGTAAACAAGTTCAACATAACCTTGCTTCGGATCTTCCGCCAAGGAGTGGCCGCAGCTTTAGGACTCTTACCCCAGCAAGTGCACATCAATCGCCTCATTGTAAGATTATGTTCCACACTCCATATTCTCCTTCCCCAAATCCAAGCTGGTTTTTTTTTTCAAATAATCATCATCACCATCGTTAAAAGGCTCATGTTACAATCCTGTGACTCATGAGGTAAATCTGGTATTACTACCTGTTAAAATAAAACTTTAATGAAGCAAGACACATCCACTCATTCACCTAACTCCTGTGGCTATTTGCATGCTTACAATGGCTGAGTTGAGTAATTGTAAAAGTTGTTTGACTCATGAAGCCTAAACTATTTACCAAATATTCCTCTACAAAAACAACAACGCCTGTAATCTTAGCTATACAGGACTACTCAGGAGGCTGAGATATGAGGATCATATTCGAAGCCAGCCCAGGCAGGAAAGTCCATGAGACTCAATCTCCAATCAAGTACCAGAAAACCAGAAGTGGAGCTATGGCTCAAAGTGGTAGAGTGCTAGCTTTGAGCAAAAAGCTCAGGGAAGGCACACAGGCTCTGAGTTCAAGCCCTACAACCAACAAAAGAAAGAAGGAAGGAAGGAAGGAAGGAAGGAAGGAAGGAAGGAAGGAAGGAAGGAAGGAAGGAAGGAAGGAAGGAAGGAAGGAAGGAAGAAAGGAAGGAGGGAAAGGGAAGTAGGGAGAGAGGGAGGGGTGAGGGAAGAAGGGAGGAAAGGAAAGGAACGGAAAGGAAAGGAAAGGGGGAGGGGGAAGGAGGGAAGGGTGGCAGGGAAGGGAGGGAGAAAGAGAAGTTTGTCCACTCTGTCATAGTTCAAGACTAGCCACACTGTTAACTATGAATAAAAGGCTTGAAATTAATACAAAATTATTGTCCAGGAGAAGCAGAACTTTCTCTATGAGTGAAGCTATTGTCTGCAAACAGTATCTATTCAAGGCCTTTCATGTGTATGAGGATTCAGAATGGTGGGCCCTGAATGCACAAGATAGAATTGAAGATAAAAAACTGACCTTGCTGTCTGCAGCCCAAACATGCTATTAAAACACAACATGAGGATGAGGAAAACCCAAGGGATCTGTCCATCATACACATGATTCTTTCCTCAGTATTTGGGAGCCTGATGTCATCAACAATAGCTTTCATCTCTTTTTAGATGGGTGTGAGCAAAGGAAGAGAAGGGGATCACTTAAACGAGATTAATTTTTCCTTGTGAAACACTAGCCACCTAAGGCTTACATGGAAAGGGAATTGACTGATCTTAATTTCCATGGCATTGGAAGCCCAAGCAGAGTTGGCATGTTCCTTTTGTCTTAAATCGTTCTGCCCTGCTGGAGCTCAGCTTTCCACGCCATCTACATCTGCATTGCCAGCTATGGACAGAATTGGCTTTACATTTTAATTTAGGAAATATATTTCTTGTTGGTTTTCTGCAGGTGGAAAGGGAATTATTTAAATCTTCATTTTTTAAAAAGAAACTTTCACTTTGTGTCAACAATTTTTAGGCACTAAAATAAGCTTTGAGAAAAAAATTTAACTCAGTATCATAAAAAAGAAAATAGAGCATTTTCTAATATCATTATTAAAGAGTGAAGGCGGTTATGCCAGGCATGATGCAATCCCAGCACTCAGGAAGCTGACCAGAGGATTGTGAGCTTTAGGCCAGCCTGGGCCACCTAGAGAATACATGTTTCAAGAAGAGACAAGGGAAGTAAAGGGAAGGGGAGAAAGAGGAAGAAGAGGTCAAGGAGGAGAACAAGGAGGAAGAGGAAGAGGAGGAGGAAGAGGAGGAGAAGGAGGAAGAGGAGGAACAGGAGGAGTAGGAGGAACAGGAGGAGGAGGAGGAAGAGGAGGAGAAGGAGGAAGAGGAGGAGCAGGAGGAAGAGGAGGAAGAGGAGGAGGAGGAATGAAAAACAAAAAGAGAAAAGAAAAAAACTTCAGATTTTTATAGGCTATCACATCCAAGACATACCCTATTCAAGTGAAAAGATTTGGGTACTATACATGTATTGGGTCTAAATCTACCTATGTTTTTGTTTTAATATACACACGTATCTTAGATGAATGTTCATACATAGAGATGTAATAAGCATAATAACTGTTTGCAAAGATGAAAGAATTTTCCACACCCAAGAAAGGGTTCACATATCTTCAGAGAACATTAGAATCATTGTTAAAAGTAGCTGTTATAGTAGACAGAGTTATAATACCCAAAGGGACAGAGGCTGGTGATTAAGAGCATGTGTCTGGTGAGAGACAAGCAGAATCACACCGAACAGCCAGCAGTGCCACAGGCTCGCTGTGTGACCACAAGCAAGCCATTTACATATCTTCATTTGTAAAGTGGGGAAAACCAAGATACTCATCTCCTAGGAATGTTTTTTGAGTAGTAAATGAAGCAACAGAATTAAAATACATTGGCACCTAACAGGCACAAGACAAATGTTCTGTCCTACTGCAATTCTTACTAGTTCATGAGCCACCTAATGATGACCAACATATTTCACATTAATAGAAATGCCAATTATCATTGTCCTTCCTGCCCATACAGTAATGATCCTTCATTTTATACCTGGATGAACTCCTGAAAAATTGTATTCAAAGAAAATTTGATGCTGTAAGAAAACTATGTGTCAAAAAGAAAAGACTCACAATTCCCTTATGCAAGTGTGTTAAGTTGTAAAAGATAATATCTTCAATGTCAGTGCCACATTTTTCTGGTGTTTGGGATTTGTGTGTGTGTGTGTGTATGTGTGTGTGTGTGTGTGTGTGTGTGTGTGTGTGTGTGTGTATAACAGTCATTATGATAAGAAATCTTCCTTTTAGTATTAATAGGAAAAGAATCATGATATCCACACACAATAGATGTTTGCCTACCAAAGGGTAGATTTTTAAAGTGTGATATACTTGAGGTGAACAGCATCAGGAAAGGGGCTACAAGACAGCACCTGTTTGGTATATCCACATTCATACAAGTGATTAAAAAATATATATAAAGTGGTGATGTCTTAAGAATGTGCTGTTGGCCCGAAACCGGTGGCTCATGCCTGTAATCCTCACTAGTCAGGAGGCTGAGATTTGTGGATCATGATTCAAAGCCAGCCCAAACAGCAAAGTCCCATGAGACTCTTATCTCCAATTAATCACCAGAAAACCAGAAGTGGCACAGTAGCACAAGAGGCAGAGCATTTGCCTTGAGCTGAAGAGCTGCTGGACAGTGCCCAGGCTCAGAGTTCAAGCCCCACAACCAACAAAAATAAAAAAATAAAAAAAATTTTTTTAGAAAGAATGAGGTGTTGAATCATGTTTTATTTTTTTTCTTAAAATACTTCTTTTTTTCTTTTTTTTTTTTTTTGTCAGTCATGTGGCTTGTCCCTCAGCTCTTTAGCTCAAGGTGAGCACCCTACCACTTGAACCACCCTACCATAGCGCCACTTCTGGTTTTCTGGTGGTGAATTGGAGGTAAGAGTCTCATGGAGTTTCCTGCCCAGGCTGGCTTTGAACTGTGATCCTTAGATCTCAGCTTCCTGAGTAGCTAGAACTACAGGCCTAAGCCACCAACACCCAGCTAGAATAACTTTTTAAGCATAATCATTCCAGAAACTTCTGAACAACATTTCAAAAATACTAACCTATGGCCAGGCATGGTAGTACATGCCTAATCCCAGCCCCTGGTGGGTAGAGAAAAGAGGATCAAGAGTCTTATGCAAGCCTGGGCTACATAGTGAGTTCTTGACCCACGGGGGAGGGGGGGGGGTAAAATGGCAAATAAACCAATAGACAGCAAAATATAAAATTTCAAACAAAGTGTACCAACTAACTGAAAGAAAGCCATTTGAAGATGGTTAGATCTGGAACTGTCTAATATTAACTCTAACGAAGAATAACCAATAAATATGATCTCCAAAGTAACTTTTAGGTTCCTAGGATTCTGATTTTCTTTAGGTTCTAAGACAAAAGGTAAAACAAAAAAGTTACCCAATTTGCTTAAAATGTCTTGAAATTTCTGCCTTTACTAGGAAAAGAAGAACAGTGTGGAATTATTTGTGTCTCCTATCAACCGAAAAGCAGGAAGGCCTGAAGCCCTGCCATCTGAAGAAGTGTTGCGTTCACTTAATATCAATGTTTTACAGCAAAGTTTATCCCAATTTGGAATTACAGATATCTTTCCCGAGGTATGTACATCACTGCTCAGATAATTTCATTTAAAAGTCTGTACAGCTAGGATGAGATGCTAATGCAACCTCATGAGGCTTTAAGATAAAAGCTATTTTATTGTTTGTGATTTGATTTTTCACTTTAAAAAAAAATCTCCCTAAGGGTCAGATTTCTCTGTTCTTCCTCCTTTATGTTTATCTGTTTAAGTAAGTGCCTTTTGACATTCAAGTTTCACTTTCTGGCATTCTTCAATAACCTTGTGATCCTGTAACTTATTTAGATATATCCAATAAAATGGTTGGGAAAAAAAAGATACATTAGCTGTCTGTGACATTTGATTGGTTATCAAGAAACAAACATATTGCTGGGCACAGTGGCTCACCCCTGTAATCCTAGCTATTCAGGAGGCTGAGATTTAAGGATTGACACTCCAAGCCAGCCTAGGCTGAGATTCTTATCTCCAATTAACACAGGTCAAATACCATATTTAATGAAAATCATTTATATGAGTGTGTTTGAACCCCAGGGCTAATGTTTACAATGTATATGACCTTTGGCCAGTCACGTTGTCACTGTGAGACTATTTGCCTATATACAGTGTCAACCTTTCAGTACCTTGGTTTCTTCATATCCAGTCTTTACCTTACAGACTGGATATATGGATTAATAGTTTTAATTATATGTGGAAGTCTTCACATACAATTGGTATGCGATTTGAATACAGGATGGCCTGGCAGAATGGGGAAATGCAGTCTTCCTTAAAAGACTGCTTCCAGGATACTCCCCCTCCTATAATAAACAAAACCCTAGATATCCAAACTCCTTATATGAAATGATGTGTGTCTACATATGACCCCCCCACACACACACACTCACATTCCCATCTACTTTACCTCACTCTAAGTTTCTTGTAATATCTCATGCAATGTAAGTGCTATGTAAATAGTAGCTATGTTCTATTGTTAGGGAATCATGACAAGGAAAAAAACCATGCTTCTGTGGCATTAAGAACAGGTGAGATTCTTTGTCCCTGAAATTTTCCATCCATGGCTGGCTGCATTTGCAGATACAGACACCAAAGACAGGAGTGCCAACTCTCTGTCACCACTCAACCATGACTGTCACAACAACCCCACTGATCTTCCGGCTTTGGGTTCTGCTTACTTCCCTACTACTTTCCCCTGACACACAACGTGTTACTGTTCTTGCCACCAGACTAGGCTTGCTGAAAGTAAATCTGGCTTGTTTTCTGAATTCCATGATTCTTCTTTGGCTCCCAGAGTACTGTAGAATCAAGTCTGGATTTCTTAGTGATGACATGTCATCTTTTATGTAATTGGGCTTCATTATTGTTGAGCAATGCTCTCTTTGTTTATGTGTAATCAATTCTGAACTTAGTAGATGTTATGTCCCCTACCATAGTCCTTCTCTCCCATGCTTGTGGTGTATGTTGGGCCTTCTAGGCACGTTTCACTTTTCAACATCAGTTTGTTACTCAGTGGCTTTCTGGATGTCTTCAAGGATGTAGTCTTCAATGTATGTGCCTTGTGTTGTTCTGTTGATCTAGAAGAGACATACTGTCTCATCTGTGTCTTCATTTAGAGCCTGCCATATAATAGGCACAAAATGAAAAATTATATCCACAAAAAACCACACCATATGCAAAGTAGTATCTAAAATCAGAAAAACAAGTAAACAATAAACAAGCAAACAAATAGATAATATAGTTCTTGTTCTCAATGAACATTTACTTTTGCAGAGCAAATAAGAAGAGGATAGAATACAGGACTAGGATAAAGTTTTCACTCTGTGCCATGGAGTTTGGAGAGGCCACCTGTGCTTTCAGAGGCCAGAGAAGAGATGGACACGAGGTTAATCACCCTTACCCTTCTCCAGCCTGAAATGCATCCAAATCCAAAGTGCCTTACTTTGTATGACAAACAAGACCTCATTCTTTTCCCACAGCCGAGGCCCTGTGTAGCCAGCTGGTATAAATCTTACCGAGGATAATTCCTCTTAAAAAATATAAAAAGATCATTGAAACAATTTATTCTGCTTCCTTTAAGCTTTTAAAGAACATTATACACATTTCCCCCCATTGCTTTATTCTAATTTAAAGGCTTTCCTGGAGGCTTGAGGAATTTAGCAGTTTATTAAGTCACCAGATTCATGAAGATCACTATACAAAATGAACTAATTCAAGTCAAGTATTTGGGGGTCTTCCAACATACTCCAGCCTAGTGAAAAATGGAGGGAAGGCTTCCCTTGACCATCAGAGCTGCTCATCTACAGTCAACCACAAGGCCTGTCCTGTACTAGATTGATGAAAGCGCATCAGGCAAGCATAATATGGTATTTCTTCACAAAGTGGTAGCAGCCTAAAAAAACATTTAGAAATATATCTTAAAATACATTTAGAAACAGAGAGTGAGTTACATCTTGAGAGGCCAGCATGTGTATGAATTGGCTATGAAGAGTATTTTGTTGAGGAGGGACAGGTTCTTTGAAACTTTGGGCTGACCTGAAGTTGAATGTGTCAGGGCAGAAGCAGCAGAGAGCTGAGGTGAACAGTGTTCCCAGTGGGTAGGAATTCTGCTAGACCACTGCCTGGTACATTTGCCCAAGGGAGCACTGCAGACACTGGAGTGGAGTGTTGTTTAAAGCCATTTATGGCATTCTGTGGGTTTCTTCAAATCTTCATCTTTCTCTAGTTAATACTTTACAACCATTGATGCCCCTACCCACTGTCCATTTCCTTTTCTTGACCTCACTTGGAGCATAGGTGCTGTTCTTGAACTTTATCACTCAAGGCTGGAACTCTACTGTTTGAGTCACAGCTCCACATGCAGTATTTGGGTGATTAATTAGAGATAAGACTCTCTCACAGACTTTTCTGCCCAGGCTAGCTTCAAACCATGATCCTCAGCTCTCAACTTCCTGAGGAGCAAGGATTACAAGCATCAACCACTTGCCCGGCTTGGTTCACATTTTGATCCTCAAAGTGTAGCTACTATGGTAACATGGCCATTAATGGGAGAAAACAAAAGTGCTTTGCTCATTTGGCTTTTTATCCTTTGTATGGATTAAAAAATATCATGAGGGCTGGGACGTTGGCTCAGTGGTAGAGCGCTTGCCTTGCATGGCTGAGGCCCTGGGTTCGATTCCTCAGCACCACATAAGCAAAATGAAAAGAGCCGGAAGTGGCGCTGTGGCTCAACTGGTAGAGCGCTAGCCTTGAGCTGAAGAGCTGAGGGACAGTGCCCAGGCCCAGAGTTCAGGCTCCACGACTGGACCCAAAAAAATAAAAATAAATAAATAAATAAAAGAATATCATGAATGGTGCCTCAAAATTTCTATTCCTAAACTTAGATTTAGTCTTTTACGGAAAGATGTGTTATTGTTTTGGCTGTTTCTTTATATGATTGATATTTAAATTAGAAATGACTCTTGAGAACCAAAAACCAAATCGAGAATTACTTGTTTTGTGTTTCCAATCTGAGTTTCTTGAGAGAATTGGTATTATTTCTTTCATATATTTTAATGTGGTATCTAGAACATTGTAGGCACTCAAATTCTATCTTATTATAAGATGCTCATAAAGATAAAACTTGACACCCTCTTACCTAATAAGTCCCATACAAGAGAACTGAAATTAAACTCATTATTTTAGTTTCTATTTACAAACATTTTTTTAGAAAATGAGTTTGATGTCATTAGTACTACATTGATAGTTAGAAAGTACTAAAATGTTTTTGATGTTCAATTGCAATCCAGTCTAAAGAATTGTAGATTTTACCAGATGTCCGTGGCTCATACCTGTAATCCTAGCTATTCAGGAGGCTGAAATCTGAGAATCAAGGTTTGAAGTCAGCCTGGGAAAGAAAGTTCATGAGACTCTTATTTCCAATTAATCCACAAAAAGCTAGACATGAAAGTGTGGTTCAAGTGAAGCACTGGCTTTGAGCAAAAAATAAATAAATAAATAAAACCAACTGTACTCAGGCCCTAAGTTCAATTCTCAGTCCCAGCACACACACACACACACACACACACACACACACACAATGTAGACTTAGCTATACAATGCTGAGGAAGTATACAATCATTGTTTTTTTTTCTTCTCTTTTTTTATTGTGAAAATACTGTACAGAGGGGTTACAATTACATGGGCAAAGTATTGAGTACATTTCTTATCAAGTATTGTTGCCTCCTCCTTTGTTTCCTCTTACCATCCACAATCAATGTTAAAATAAATTAGATCATCCAAATCAACTGTTCACTTGGGCATAATAAGTTTGGCATTTATCCAACAAAGCCATATTGTTGTAGGATACATTTCATTTATCTGTCTCAGTCAAACAAATTAACTGGATAATTCATAACATGTCACTTTTATTCTCTGTGCTTCATTTCTCCCAAAGAGAGATGTCTCTATATCTCTATATCATCTTTTCTAACCCTTGCAAACTGGAAAGGAAAAAAAGAAGGAGAAAGATAGGAAAGGAAGGAAAGAAAGAAAGAAACCACAGAATATCAACTTTTTAAATATACAGAAGCCATTGTTACATAATGTAGATAAAACAAACTTTAGTAATAAAGTAAAACTCCTCAGCTTTGTTCACTCACACTAAGTTAAAGGAAAAAGCAGTACAGCTATGAAACAAGACATAAAGATAATATACTGGCATTAACTTTATCAGGTCCTGGAGTCTGTGAATTATTGAACTCTTGGTCCCCTGACAAAATATAAAATGCATTGGGTAAACCCTAGGTAAAGGTTAGATTCACGATTACTGTGAATTATGATCTTTTGTGTGGGATCTCAACCACAAACTTTTTCATTTATTACCCTGTCCTTATCAAGTTTTTTAGATCTCTGTACAAATATAGTAGTGCTCAGCAGGAGTAGCATGACTCAGAAGGAAATCTATTTACCAAGAAAACGCAGTGACTAAGTTCTGGTTCAAAACACGTGTCTTTCTAACTGCAGGTGGGGGAAGGGACAGTGGAGCACAATTCTTCCATCATCTTTGCTTCAGTTAAAAACAGAAAACAAAACAGATTTTTCTTAAGCAGAAAAGAACATGTTGATATTCTATGAGTTATAGAATTATACAGGAAGAAAAAAAAAAATGAACCGAACGAGGAACACTGACTCTCTTCCCACCCACTTAACCACCCTTCCTGCCCAAAATTCTTTAGTTAAAATGCACGTCCTTATATTTTAGTTAAAATGCACTACCTTATATTTAAATGTGAGCACTTTATGCTGCTTACTTGAGGGTCTAACTAGTTTTATAGTGAACAATGGATGTTATTTAGTTGCCTACAAAAAAATTGTTTCCATCTTTATATTTGATTCCTACTAGATTTTTCTATTCACGGTTATGTTTATAGAGACATAGAAATTAAAAAAAAAAAAAACCTAGCTGAAAGCAGAGGAAAAACAAAACTGTCACTTAAACCCAACATTTTTAGCAGCATACTTAGTTACTAATCATTTTATCATCAATTGTTCTCAGATCCTCTATTAATCTACCATTTATATATATTTAAAACAACTTTTAACTGTGCATCTGTCTAGAAAGTGTGAAATACAGTGAGTACATCATTTGTTTTTGAGCAAAGAAAATAAAAATTTGATTCTTTTTTTTTTTGTTGTTGGTCATGGGACCTGAACTCTGGGCCTGGGCATTATCCTTCAGCTCTTCAGCTCAAGGCTAGCACTCTACCATTTGAGCCACAGCACCACTTCCAGCTTTTTCTGCTTATGTGGTGCTGAGGGATCGAACCCAGGGCCTCATGCATACAAGGCAAGCGCTCTACCACTGAGCCACCTTCCTAGCTCAGAAATTTGATTCTTTTCAGCAATAAATCTCCCTCCAAATGATTTTTGGAATCACATTTAAACTCAAAGATCTCTTGTGGCCTGCTTATTCATCTCTCTACCAGGACATGATTGAAATCTGAGATAAAAATTTCCATGAGATGGTGACAGGGAGGAGGGGGGTCCACATGGCGGGGGGTTGGAGGGAGGGAAAGTAGGAGAAAAATGAGGGTGGAGATAACAAGTTTGACAAGAAATATACTCACTACCTTACTTATTTAACTCTAACCCCCCTGTACATCACTTTGACAATAAAAGTTTTAAAAATTTCCATGGAATATTTTTCAAGGCAAATATTTATATCAAATTTGAAACTGTTAAGGATATTTTCTAAGTTTAAAAGAAATGACTTAAAATGATTTCAAACTCCCAGCACTTAGTGCTCTATATAGTTTTTTTTTTTTTTTTGTCGGTCGTGGGGCTTGAACTCTGGGCCTAGGCGTTGTCCCTCAGCTCTTCAACTCAAGGCTAGCGCTCTACCACTTGAGCTACAGCACCACTTCCAACTCCCAGCACTTAGAAGATGAGTTTAACTCATGGCTTCCCTGGTCACGAAGACATCATCCCTTTACCACAAAACTAAGAGAAGCAGGGCTCAACAAAATGGATTTTTTGTGTGTGCTGCTACTGGGTCTTGAACTCAGGGCCTGGCCACTGTCCCTTAGGGACACTCAAGGATGGTGTTCTGCCATTTGAGCCAGAGCTTCACTTACAGTTTTTGGCTGGTTGATTAAAAATAAGAGTCTCATAAACTTTCCTGTTCAGGCTGACTTTGAACATCAATCCTCAGATCTCAGCTTCCTCGGTAGCAAGGATTACAGGCATGAGCCACCAGCATCTGCCCCCACCCCCCAATTTTTTTTTAAATGAGTGCAAGCATTTAACATGACTTAGTGTTTATATGTTTTCCCTAACCATGAGTCACTTGGTTTCAATTCAGTTTCTTTAACCACACATCATTCAATTATAAAACATTTTCATTCTAAAAGACTTGACTTTAGTTGCTGTGCATTTTTTTAAAAAGAATAGGTAAAATGAAACTTTTGTTCATGCTTTCTCTCCACTTTCCCACCCCCGCCCCCCAGGAAGCAAAAATAGTAAAAAAAATAAACCTGTTTCTTTTGCCTTGTATTACCAGATAATTATGAACTTTTTGGTGCGTCCTGATACTTACAAGAAATACATAAAAGAAAAAATAACAATCTCTATGTGGGATGATACTTGGCCAAGTTTTGACAAAGTAAAAACCATTTAAGGGGAGAAAAATCCTGTGTGCTACCATCAGAGGGAAGAAGAAAGAAAAAAAGATCCTGACATTGTTGCTGTGTTTATAAATGCATCATGAGCTTTTGTTTGCACCTGTCAGGCTGTTGTTTAAAGGTACAGAGCTGTGTTACAGCTCAGAAGCCAGTGTGTTGATGATGTGGGAGGGGACTCAGAGGAAGGAGAGCTTCAGAAACATTTCCTCAGCACAGAAGCGAGCAGAACAGAACTCTCTCACCTATGAACCAGGTAGTTTCCAAGACAGACTGTAAGAGACATGGGGAGGACCTGAGCATGCCTGTAGGGCATGCCGGCTCCCACACCAGAGGCTAAGTAATCTCTAGCTGTAGACGGCTTCTGCTGTCTAGATCAGTTTGAGAAACAGCTCTAGCTGCGGGAAGAGGGTGTAGGGGTGCTCCAATACACAGACTGGAATAAAGCTCAAAATATGTGTAGTGTCTGATAAGAACAAAGCCAGTTTCCTCAAGCTGTCATTTAACGGCGGACTTTCTGTTTTGCTTTTCAAGAAAAATGTTTTACAAGGGCAGCACGAAGCGGACAAAATCTGGAGCAAAGAAGGATTCTATGCTGTTGTCATTTTTGTCAGCATCTTTGTTATTATAGTAACGTGTTTGATGGTAAGTTTGCTTCTTTGTCTATTTTATTCTTTGCTGAGCCCTCTATTGAATATTACTGGCTATGATGCCATTCAACTGAATGGGAAGGGAGGGCGAAGCAGAAATAAGATTATAGTCCTGTTAGTTTAGGGATTTCAGCACAGCACTGTGATTGTTACAGGAAAGCCTATGGAGGTGTGAATGTGAGCTGGGTAATGAAGCTGTAATTGCCTGAAAGTTTTCAGTGACTTGATCAACCCTAGCAGGAAGCTTTAGAGCGTGATTGACTGAGGTTATGGAAGACCTCCAAGTCGTTATGGCCTCTTGGGGACACTCTGGGCTCACTTTATTTCTTCTTTTATATCATCTTTATGGAACCCGGGAAATTTTTGTAAAAAAGGAAATATGTCTTTAGGGTAAGCTTTTTCCCAAAGGAAGGGCTGATTTCTGTACTTTTAAAGGGCCTTGGACATTTTATGAAATACCAAACATAAAGACTAAACCACCCACTACTTCCTAACTTTTTGCTGCATGAATACTTTATAAGTATGAAAGAATATACAGTAATCATTCTAAACTCACAGTATAGATGCTTTAAAAGCATGATTCTCATTTGAAAAAAAAAACCTAATCCACAATTTAAGCAGTGCTATTTGGTATTGAATGAGTTAAGTATCTTTCAAGTAGAATGACATATATATATATATATATATATATATATATATATATATATATATATATATATATTCTTTTTAAAAATGTTGTGATGTAACGTAGTACTGGCAGCTTACAAATGAGTTTTAATTTTTTTCTCTGTGTGCTATATTCTTTTTAATTTTGTACATTTTTTAAAGTACGTATTTTTTTAAGTTTTTAAGTGTCCCCCCAAGATATCATACCCCTCATTCTCTCCACCATCAACAAACAGCATTGCCAAGTTTCTTATTTGATTTTCTTCATGTGTGTTCCCCTACTGGGAGGGAGTTTGTGTGAGAGGTTCAGGCTCAGTTTGGGAAGACAAAGGCTAAGTTCATCAAAAGCTGGAAGGTTATAAAATCAATGAAACCTCTAACTGGGTGAAAACAAGTGTATTTCCTAGACCCCCCACCCCACAAATGTAGAAAGTAACTAGAAGTTCCTGAAACATCCACCATTATGAATTCAAATGTGTCGTCTCTGGGTCAGAAATGAAGATTTCAAAAAAAAACATAACCTCATACGCAAGAGAATAGTTTTAAATTTGAATAAAAATAGATTCTTATATCTTAAGTGGTAATGATTAAGAAAACAATTTTTTTTATGGACTGGGAAGGAGGCTCAGTGGTAGAGCGCTTGCCTTGCATGCCTGAGGCCCTGGGTTCGATTCCTCAGCACCACATAAGCAAAAAGAAAAAAGCCAGAAGTGGCGCTGTGGCTCAAGTGGTAGAGCGCTCGCCTTGAGCTGAAGAGCTGAGGGACAGCGCCCAGGCCCAGAGTTCAGGCCCCACAACAGACCCAAAAACAAAAACAAACAAACAAAAAAAAAGAAAGCAAATTTTAATAAAAAGAGAGTTGAAGGTGTTACAGAAACTGCAGCAGAGACACTCATGTCTCAGTGTTTTAAAGGATGTACTTTCTTGTTACGGTTAATTGCACTTCAAAACATATGATTCTTTTTTCTTCACATGGGAAATCTCAAGTGCTTTCTACTTTGTCAGTCACAATTGAAGTGTATTTGCTTTACAGATCAAAAATGGATAGGAGAAGCTGGGGGTGTGGCCCAATGGTACACTATATAACTAGACTACACAAGGCCTTATCTTCAATCACCATCACTGAAAGATGAGAACAAAAAAAGTACAAAGTGATAGAAATGGACAATGTTCTAGTAGTAAATGGATAAGATTCAGAGAAACAAAGGCAAGGATGGAGGGAGTAAGGTAAGAAGCCTTCCTCTACAGGCTTTGAGTGCTAAGGGATAGAGAGAGGCAGAGGGCAGAGCTTGCTATGAACAATTAGTATATTTTGGATTTAGCAGTAGTGACTCAGTGCCCATCTATCTAACACAACCAGACATCTCTATGGTCTCAAGTAAAAGGACCTATAAAAGCCACATCTTTACCTACTCGGAGCTGAGGACAACTCTTTCTTTACTAATTTTTGCTAAATACTAATGTGAAATCCAGAAAGATAAGTAGATCTGCTCCAAAGTTACTAGAGCAAATCAGCAAAGGCATGTTTGGAAAAGTATAGATATTTTCACTTTCATTCATTCATGCTTTCACCACATACTACCAGAAGAAATGCCACTGACGAAATGAGCAAACACTTCATCGGGAAATCTAGATGATAATCAATAGATATTTTTATATAATCATATAGAATGAATATACTAATATGACTTCAACTGTATGACACTCTGGGAAAGGCCAAAACCACAGAGACACTTGCATGGTTATACAAGTAGAGGCTAAAGGAGTATTGGGTAGAAGACAGCTGATTTATAGACAGTGAACATAATTCTTTATTTTTTAATGACAAATGTATGTGGATTCTCAAGATATGTAAAACATACAACACAAAGAGTGACCTCATCTGCACTGTAGGTTCTAGTCAGTAACAGAATATCAATGGTAGTTCATCAACTATAAGGCATGTACCACAACAGTGGGAGTTGTTTGGTGAGGTAGAAGAAAAGAGGGTGTATGGAAATTCTGTACTTTTGGCTCAACTTTGCTATAAACATGAAAACTGCTCTAAAAATAAAGCCTGTCAGTCAGACATGAGTGACTCACATCTATAATCTTAGCTACTCAAGAGGCTGAGATCTGAGGATCATGGTTTGAAGCTGGCCTTGGAAGGAAAATACATGAGCCTCTTATCTCCAAAAAGCCAAAAGTAGAACTGTGTGGCTCAAGAGGTAGAGTACTAGCCTTAAGCAAAAAAAAAAAAAGGCTCAGGGCTGGTACCTAGGCCCTGAGTTCAAGCCTCAGGACCAGCACACAAGAAAAGACAAATCTCTCCATATATAAAAATATTTTGATTGTTAGACTGGTGTGATACTGCCGAGCCATGCTTCCAAACCTGTGCATTTCCCCACCACCACTGATCATTTTTAGCAGAGAGTCTCACGTCCTGCTCTGAGCCAAGATCTGACTGCCTTAGGCTTCCTGTTGTAGCTGGAGTAGCAGGCATGTGCCACTATGTCCAGCTTCCCTCAGTGGAGACAGAGTCTCGTGGATTTTTATGCCTGGGCTAACCTGGAACTATAATTTATACTCTTAATCTCAGCTTCCCATGTAGCTTGAAACAATAAACATGCACCACTGTACCCAGCTATAGGTTTAGAAGGGGTCTTGGAAACTTTTCTGCCTGGGTTGGGCCTCAAACCTTACTCCTCTCTTTCTTAGCCTCCTACCTAGCTAGTATTACAGATGCGAATTACCAACTCCTGGCTTCAATTTAAAAAAAATAAATAAATAAAACAGTGAGTGGTATGGTGGCATCTACCAATAATCCCATGAGAGGTGAAGATAGAAGTGTAGTATGAAGCCAGTCAAGGCATGCTTGAAAAATAAGCTGAAGCAGAAAAAGGCTGCTCAAGTGATAGAGTGCCTACATAGCACACACAAAGCTCTTAGTTCAAATTCTGGTACTGTCAATACATTGTTTTATTTTAAAAATAAACAAAAAGCTGCTATTGTTATAAAATACGTATTTACCATGTGAACAGTGAACTATTTCCCTTAATCAAAGTTTAATCCCCACAGCTATCTTATGAGGCAGATGCGTACCCAGATCCACCCTTATTTTAAAGAAGGAACTTGGTGCCTGTGGCTCATGACTGTAATTCTAGCTACTCAGGAGGCTGAGATCTGTGCTGGTTTGAAGCCAACGCAGGCAGGAAAGTACATGAGGCTCATAGCAACAATAAATTACCAGAAAGCTTGAGTGGGGCTTTGGTTCAAATGGTAGAGTGCTAGCCTTGAGCCAAAGAAACTCAGGAATCATGCCCACGCCCTGAAATCAAGCCCCAGAACCAGCATGTGCGCACACACACACACACACACACACACACACACACACACACAGGAATTTGTACCACCAGAGGATAAAATAATAGTGAGTGATGAAAAGAAAACAATCTGAGATGTGAAAATGCAGGGATAGGCAGAGGGGACAGTGAATGGAATGGTGCTGAGAAGAAGTAAGCTTAGCCCCTTGGGCTAAAGGGGAAAAATGGAAACTGAGGCTAAATCAGAGCCTTGGGGGTGAATGTGTGCATCTGGCAGATCTCATTCCCTGCTGATGGGAAGTGGAGAGGAACAGAGGGTGGCCTTCAGAAGCAGGAGGACCACTCTAAAGGCTATAGACTGATCATAGACCTCATCATCATAGACTGATGAGGAAAATGGTGCTGGCTTCGAGCTGGGGTGAAGAGAAAGGAAGCATTGAGAGCTACTTGAAGGCTGACCCACCAGGCCTTGCATGTCCTTATTTGTAGGAAAAGGAGGAAACAAATAGCAATGTCTCTTGGGTAAGTTGGCTTGACCACCTGGGTGGTGGTCCTCTTACAGTCCAGGAAAGAAACAAATTGAGGAGTAGGGAATAAGGAGAAAGAACCAGTTTTGAATTGTCTAAATAATTCTTGAATAAATCAGAGTGCTTCATTTCAACCACTATCTTAAATTTTAATATGAAAAGAGCATGTTTAAAAGTATTTTTGGAGCTGGAAGTGTGGCTTAAGAGATACAGGGACCCCTTACCTATGGAATACAAGGCCCTGAGTTTATAGCCCTAATATGGCCAGAGAAAGGAAGGGAATGGGAGGGGAGAGGAGGGAAGGAAGGGGAGGGGAGAGGAGGGAAAAGGGAGGAGGAGGAAGAGGAAGAAAAGGAGAAAGAGGATGGAGGAAGGGGGGAGGAGGAAATAAAAAGAAGAGTAATAGAGAAATCAGCAATAAACAGAAAGGAGCTGATCCTCATAGGAAAAGGTATGCTGCCTAACAGATTAAAAAAAGTAGCTAAGTTTCTCTGATAGGTTGCCACAAACAAGTCAACAGCTCACATTTAGGGACCTGTCAAGTGTGAGTGTCTGAAATAAGTTGGTCTTTGTGTTTAAATGATTTTTCCCTTTGTTGTTTTGTTTTGTTACTGTCAGTTTCACAATGAAGTTTCACTTTGACATATTCATATTTGGTTACAGTGTGCCTCATCAGATAATTCCCTCTATTGCTCTCTCCTCCCTTCCTTCTATAAATATGTTTAAGGTGTTGTTGGTCTATTTTATGCATATATATAGAGATATGTGTATATATACATATATTCATTATCTTTAACCTCTCTCCTCCTACTAGTGCTCCACCACACAAATAAAAAGAACCCATCTTACATTCCTGTCATTCACTTTTTTTAGTAATATATTTATTGTTCAAAGAGCTTTTGCTGTGATACTTCACACATGTATCTATTGTATTAATCATATTTATCCCCTGGATTACTCTTTCTTTCCACATCCTCCTACTACCTATTTTTCAACTTTAAAGTTTTCATACACCATCTTGATACACAGAGACACTGTATTTTTAATATTCTATACCCTCTAACAGTATCTTTTCCTCTCTCCCTTTTCTCTAGTCCCTTGAAACAGTCCCACAGTCACAAATAAAGGCACATTTTCTAAAGTTTTTGATAATTATCTTTATTTAAAGTGGGTTTATTTATTGGATCTCTCAGTAATAGTTATATGTAGTATGCTTTTCATACTGAAGTATACTGGATTATTTTATACTTTTGTGACCCTCAAACATATAGAGATAAATTCTATTTCCCATACTTTTATTAATTCTCCCACTCCCCCCCAAAAAAACCTATAACTCAGATTTTTCCTTATGATACTAGTTATATTTAGGATATAACTTCTATTTGTATCTAGTCTTCCTACAGAACACAGAAATGAAAAGTATGTAGCTTGAATATGAAAGTATATAGGTAAATTGCTGTAATGGAGGATAACATGTACTAGATAACAATAACATGAGACTTGGCAAAATTTTTGAAATGTGGCATATTGTTTACTTTCCTTAAAATACAAAAAAAGGGAGAGAGAATCAATGCTGCTAGGCATAAAATTAGACAGGCATGACATTTTCGAATGTGTGACTTATTTAACACTTCTCAAATGTGAATGGAGAGTGGGTGGAGCGACAAATAGACAAATACAATTTTCTAAGAAAAAGAAATTGTGTGGGCAACTTCGAATCCATTCAGTCTGTTTTGGATGAAGGAAGTTTATTACTAAGTAGCATTAGTTCTGAAACTTGAACAAAGAATAGAAAGAACACCATTTATCATCTAAATTAGACCAAATGTACTTAGAGATTTTTAAATTATAAAGGTATTTATGAGATTTTGGTAGAGATGTCTACAAGCAAGATTGTATCTAGAAAGCAGTTTTAGAAATCATGTAGAAACAAGCTGTTTCACCCATTAACAAATCACCTAGATAAGTTTCTTTAGTCATGGTCTGGTAGCTGAGGCCAGAAATCCTCTACTGGATGAGCAGGAATGGCCAGAACATTGCAATACATACCTGTCAAAGCTGGACACAAATAGCCACACTTTTCTAATGTCTTGTATTTGATCCTTAGGAACTGTGGGATATAGAACAAGATTCTTACTTGGAAGCCAGCACCAGTAGCTCACACTTGCAACCTTAGCTACTCAGGAGGCTGAAGTCTGTTGAGCACAGTTCAAAGCCAGCATGGGCAGTAAAGTCTGTGAGACTCTTATCTCCAATTAACCAGCAAAAAGCTGGAAATGGAGGTCTGCCTCAAGTGGTAAACACTAGCTTTGAACAAAAACACTAAGGGCCAGTAACCAGTCCTGGAGTTCAAGGCCCAAGACTGACACCCTCTCTCTCTCTCTCTCTCTCTCTCTCTCTCTCTCTCTCTCTCTCTCTCTCTCTCTCTCTCTCTCTCTCTCTCTCTCTCTCTCTTTCTCTCTCACACACACACACACAGACACACACACACACACACACAGAGTTGGAATGGTTGATTACAGAACAATTTCTAAAGCAGTAGGTATATCTTAATATTGCTCAGACAAATTTTCAATTTTTATTCCACAACAAGACTACAACACTCTTAATCATACTAGTAAAATAATAAGAGCAACGGTGATAGGAGCACTGATAATTAGTTGTTTCCATATATCACACTCTTATTCATATAAAACCGATACAAAATTTATTGTGTGGTACTAAACACTATTCCTAATGTCAAGGAAACCAAGGTTTAAAAATAAAATAATTGACTTGACCAGAACAAATAATGGGTGGGTGAGTGAGCGTGTATATTAAGGATGAGAGAGGGGATCAGAATTAAAACCCAAGTCTATCTGAATTAGAAGTCTAGACTATTTAGCATGATTCCAGGTAATTCCATAATGAAGTCCAATGGTGGGAATTGTATTCCTGTCATTCTATGAACATCTCCTTCTAGCCACAAATGGGTCCATGAATAGGTGGGAATGGCAACATTTACCGGAGCCACTCCACACAGATGGGACAGATAAATGTATGCCACATCATACCTGTGTGTTGTGGACACACCTCTGATTTTGTACTTTGTACCTTGTACTGGCCATGATATTTTATACATCTTGTCTCCTGAAAACCTGATAGTTCTCAAGATGGGGTGGTGTGCCACCTTTGCACCCACAATGTCATGTTTCTGGAATGTAGTAGAAAATTATTCTCATGTATCAAAGTCAAAGAAAAAGAATGAATAAAGTTAGCACATATCTTAATCCAGACAGAAGGTTTTCTGTTACTTAATTTGGAGTATTTTTTTTGGTCGATCGTGGGTCTTGAACTCTGGGCCTGGGTGTCCCTGAGCTTTTCAGCTCAAGGCTATTGCTTTACCACTTGAGCCACAGTGCCACTTCCAGTTTTCTGGTGGTTAACTGGAGATAAGAGTCTCACAGACTTTCCTGCCCAGGCTGGCTTTGAACCGCTAGGATTACAGACGTGAGCCACTGGTGCCCAGCGGGAGATTTTTTTTTTAATTTAATTGAAATCATGCACCAGTGGCTCACACCTATAATCCTAGCTACTCAGGAGGCTGAGATCTGAGGACTAATGTTCAAAGCCAGACTGGGCAGAAAAGCCCTCAAGACTCTTACGTCTAATTAACCAGCAAAAAGCTAAAACTGGAGGTGTGACTCAAGTGGTAGAACTCCAACTTCAAGCAAAAAAAGCAAGAGCACCAGGCCCTAAATTCAAGCCTCAGTGCCCCCCACCCCCACACACACAAAATTAAGAATAAAAGCTCATGTGAGAGCTTTACTTAGCTTCCTCTCAATTTTATATTCCTTGGGTTCTTGTTATGCTATAATTTTTTTCTCCTACTACAGTTTGTCTTTTACAAGTCTTTCTATACAATAGTTCTTTTCTTTATTTCAGAAGACCCAATAATTTTAAAATATCTCAGAGTTCAAAAGCAAGCTGTAGAAGAAGGAGAGGAAAATCCTACCTTCCCATGGCTATGATGAGCATTCAAGATGAGTTGTTAGACAAAGTAAATTCTCATAGAGTATAGACATATACTATAGTCCAGCCCTCAGTCTGTGCAGAGAAAAATCTCAGATTCAGTTTTCCAGAAGCGTTGGGAAAGAGGTTAAGAAGAAAGACTTGAATGGTCCCATGCCTGGAAGTCAGGAAACCTGGATCCTATTATAGTCTAGATTTTACTAGAACCCAATCTCTGCATATCATTCATCTGCACCCTAGTGCAATTTCCTTGTACAACACTTCTCAAGCTGTTATTTTGGACTGATTGCTCTGCGGAAGGGAGCATGGGGCCCCCTGTGCTTTATAGGGGGCCTCTGCCCTCTGTGTACTACTCATACGCCTTCCATTTGCCTTCTCCCCACAACTCTGACAACCAAAACTGGCTCTGGTTGTTGCCAAATGTCCCCTGCAAGGCAAGTTGCCTGCCAGTTGAGAGCTATTATCTTGTAGCTTAATTCCCTGATAACCACCCCACTGCCAGAGCAACCGCTTCCATTTTTTTCTACATTTTTTTCAAACAACCATCTCTTGAGTATTTTATACTTACTTACATGTCTCTTTCATGTTGTATATTTTCCATGTTTACCTTTCCCTAATTAAAGTTGGAGAAATCCATTTTTAACATGGGCTACACTGTGACCAATTGGAAAGCTGACCTCTAATAGGTCATGAAATAGATTAAATAGATTGCTGGGTGTAAAATACGTGACACAGGTTTCTCCTCAAGCAGGTGAGTGGCAGGGAAAGACTTTAGACTCAACTTTGTTCTATACTAATATAATAAAAGTGACCTGTCAGGAAAAACTGAAGTCCATATATTCTTGATTTTTCTATTCTCAGCATGGAAATATATTTTTCCTAAATGCAAGGAAGTAAATATTCTGATGTACATATTCTATTTATATATGAAGAGGCTAAAATATAGCATTTATTCACTATTTTTCTACTGAGTGTGTGTATATCTATGTATAATATAGAACGCTCCACAAATTAGCATATCATCCTTGCACAGGGCCCAGGATAATCTTCTCTGTATCATTCTGATTTTAGTAAATGTGCTAACAAAGTAAGCACTACTGAGTACATTTTTGAAAACATGATTTTGTAATTCAGGAAATCTAACACATTTGTAATGTTAAAATCATATCCCACTTTAAATTCTATAGACTCATCTTTCAGTAATTAATATTTAACTTCACATAGTAAGCTTACCATATATATGCCAACTGTCTGGTATTATTCTAGTATAGGTTTTATAGGCGAAGTCATGGAACTAAAGGAATCAAAAAGCTACAAACCATCAGTACTATACACAGAATAAAGACATTCATTTTCAGTATTTTAAAAAAATTCTTTAGCATACAGAATCCACAGTATAGTAATGAAAATAATTGTAAGTTCTAAGAATGTGGTTTGATGACAGAGTGTTTCTCTAGTATGTACAAGGCCCTGGGTTCAATCTCCGGAAGAAAGGAAGGAAGGAAAGAAGGAAGGAAGGAAGGAAGGAAGAGAGGGAGGGAGGGAGGAAGGAAGGAAGGAAGAAGAAAGAAAGGGAGGAAGGAAGGGTGGAAGGGAGAGAAAATTGGGGATAAATTATAAGACTTCGGAAAACAAAGTCTAGTTTGAAGTCTTTCCCTGCCACTCACCAGCTTAAGAGGAACAATTGTTACATATTTTCCAGTCAATAATCTATTTTATCACTTAGTGAAAAACATCAGGGTTTTTTTCCCTTTATATAAGAATATTTGTTGTGGAAATGTCCAGATATTTTTTTCTCAAAATCTAAGATTTTTATGTTTCCCTACCAGTCCATGATTTCCATCATATAGATCATATAGATCATCATATAGATCATATGAAGAAATGAGGATGAACGAAAGACAATAAGAATTCTGCTTCATCTCCTGATGGTTCAATCTACAGTGCACATTTCTAGTTATCCTTCATAGGTACACAGATTTTTTTTGCACTTGGGGGTGGGGATGGAGGTTAAGGAGGTCCTCTTTCAAATCTAAAGGAGTTCACTCTTAGAATGAATGGTTTTGAAACTCAATGGTGATCACCACAAATATAATGTCAGCCTCTCTTTCCCAGGGCACTGTTGGGACAAGCAGCACCTGAAATAATGTTCAGAGGTAAAAACTGGATAGGTCTCAAGTCAGAGCTGTGCCCAGGCTGGACTGGGTCATAGCTAATTGCTGACTACACAAGCTAATGGCTCACCCACACCTCCATTTCCTTACTGTGTAATGAGCTGGAAAGTCCTCTAATGACCACCCTAACTCAGAGGAATCTGTATCCCTAATTTAAAAGTCGCTTAGCATATATTTTTTTAAACATAGCTGCCCTCCAACCTTCGTTCTTGCTACTACCATTGGGATATTAGATCTGAGACAAACTTAAGTTTTCATTTTGTGTTAAATAATTCAAAGGTCTCGTTTTCATCTCAATTTCCAGTTCTTTGTATCTTAATTTTAGTTGTCTTTCTCGTGACTAGTAGAACATTGTTGAGACTATTTCTTTTTTAGAAAGAAATATGAGTAGTATATATTTTCAAGAATTTACATATTTGAAAAATTCTTTCTGTGGGCTTCATGCATAAACACAAATTTGCCTAATGTGAAAGTTAGGCATCCTTTGTAATAGACATTGTTTTTCCTCAAAGCTGTGACAATGGCTCCATTTCTATCTCTTTACTTTACTGGCATACATGGCCTCAGGGGTTCTTTTAACCTGAGAGTATTCTACATTCCTAACTTCCTTAGAAACAGAGAACTATCTGTTTCGTTCACAGCAAAACACCCTGTAACTTTCACAATACATAGCATAAAACAAGCATGTTTCCTCGTGTACCCTGATTCCTCTGAGTTCCATGTCATCTTTTCTGTTTTCATCTTCATCTCATAATTCTTTTGTTTTACCTACTAGGCAGTCTCTAAGTTTGCTAAATGAATCATTGGTGATATTTTCTTCAATTCTGTTGTATTTTTTTCTTGTTTTTCTTTTTTCTTTTTGCCTAGACAATTTACACATTGCCCATATGTGTCTAGTTCTTGGATCTTTTAAAAATTAATCCCTGTTATATTTGTTATCTTTTCATTTTGGGTTTTTGTATTTTGGTTTCATCCTAGTCATTTTCTGTAATCTTATTTTGTTTTTTTTTTGTTTTGTTTTTTTTTGTTTTTTTGGGGTCCATTCGTGGGGCCTGAACTCTGGGCCTGGGCGCTGTCCCTCAGCTCTTCAGCTCAAGGCTAGCGCTCTACCACTTGAGCCACAGCGCCACTTCCGGCTTTTTTCTTTTTGCTTATGTGGTGCTGAGGAATTGAACCCAGGGCCTCAGGCATGCAAGGCAAGCGCTCTACCACTGAGCCACCTTCCCAGCCCCTGTAATCTTATTTTGTTAAACAAACACTTCTTTCCCAAAATCATATGAGAAAACCAGAAAAAATATTTTCTAAAGTTGGCCTGAAAATAAAAGTATTTTATACCATATGAAGAAATACAAAAGCATTTCTTTCCTCCTCAACTTCAAATGAATTCTTCCTTAATTTCCTTTCCTGGTTACTGTGCTTCAGTAAGAAAATAATCTACCTATACATTTGGACTTCATTATCTTTCCAGTAGATTTAAAATATGGGCATGACTATAATTGAAAGGAACTCTGAGAGAGAAGGGAAAATAGAATTCACTTTCCAATGAGTTAAACATTTTCTGTTGTTGTACCAGGAATGCAAGGCACCAGGAAAGCCTTCCTCCTAAAATAGAACTTGTGCAGCTAATGAGTTCTAGAAATTAGCCAGAGGAGTTAGGTTGGTAGATACAGATACTATCAGCTGTACACCTTCAGGTAATTGCTGATAATAGGTTGTCACCTCTCCAAGTGCACTCGCTTATGAAGTCATTCTCTAAGAACATAGGTGACGACACTTGGGATATCTAGTTTCTACAGGAATTGGAGCAGAGGAGTTAGAGCAGCAGCAGAAAAATCCTTTGAGAAATTAAGCCTGAAGACAAAAATATGTCCTAGCCTACAGGGTAGCCCAGAGAGTCACAATGAAATCACTCTCATTCTTTCAAAAGTTCAAAAGTAGTCATCCTACCAGTTCTGAATTGAAGTTGCCAGTCCAGAAGGATTTCTGATAATGGAGAAAAAAAAGGGACTGTGTTGCTTTTTCCTGTATGTATTAAAAATTTTAAAGGGAAGGGGATAAGATGGAAAATTCTGGCTGTCCAAAATTTCTTGAAAGATATCCTAAGTTCAATGCAGTATTTACCAAGTGAAGAAAGTATGTTTTATAGAAAAGGTATTTTAATGATAACATTTTATAAGACTTCTTTTGGCACAATGGTCTGTTTCTATGAAGAACATTAGGCTTGTGTTTTATGGCTAGTCTTGCTACCTACCCTTCTAATAAATTCTTATGTGGCATTTTTTTTTTTGTAGTTAGTCAAATTTGCTTTTGAATCTATCTTTGAGCCATAAATTCATGTACGCAAATCTTTGTCATAACTAGAAATACCAAACATAATCTTAGGAAAAGAAAAAAAAAATCTCAGAATCACCAAACAAAAATTCTTCCTAGAAGACTGCCCCTCCTTCCTCCTTTAACCTTTATTTTGAATTGTCTTCTCAGGGTAGAAAAGATCACAGTGTCATCCAGGGACTGAAAAACTGACCAGAGCCCTTTATGTCACTTTTTTTTTTTTTGTAGATTCTTTACAGATTAAAAGAAAGGTTTCAGCTTTCCTTGAGACAAGATAAAGAGAAAAACCAGGAGATCCACCTATCACCCATTGCATTACAGCCCGCACAGTCTGAGGCAAAGACAAACCACAGCATGGTCCAACCCGAGCAGGCCCCCAAGGTACTCAGTGTTGTCGTAGATCCTCAAGGCCGATGCACTCCTGAGATCAAAGCTACCACCTGCACCTCTGTCTGCCCGTCTCCTTTCAAAATGAAGCCCATAGGACTTCAGGAGAGGTAAGAGCTCAACCTCTATACACTGTTTTATGTAGGAAAGAGTCATAAACTATAAAAGGATAGAACTAGAAATGACTGGCAGAGCTGGGGAGAGTCATTCACCTCCATAGACACCAGGAACATGTAGTACTTGCTTGTCTCTTACATGAGTCTCTCTGTGCTTGAGAAAAAGCCTTTCTTGTCTGTCTGATTCTGTGAGCTTGTATAGACAGTCCCACGTCCAGTCTATCTGCAACTAGAGGACAGACCACTATGACTAGGTATTGAGTATTATTGAAACACAGACATGAGTGAATGGCTATCAAACTCTGGTGTGAAGAGATAGAATAAATGCAAGGATGTTTCCAGTCATTGAGATCATGGAAGAATCTGTGCCACAAATTAATTGATTTAAAAATTTCCCTCTGCCTCCTTTGACTACAATACACATTAAATATGGAGTTCCAAAGTTGGGCACTGGTGGCAAAAGACCAAAGCAGTGCTTGAGGCATGGCTCAAGTGGTAGAGCAACAGCAGAGCAAGCAAGCAAGTCAAGCAAGTACAAAGCCCTGAGTTCAAATTCCAGTACTATTAAAAAAAATTCAAGACAATTTTGTTACCTTACCGGCCTTTGAGATGTAGCTATTTATATGATAATCAATACTAATACCCCTCCATTTAAAGCAAGTCCAGTGTCAGAAAACTAGAAAATGCAAAATTCTCATTTGTGAAGGGCTTTTTGCTATCCCCAAATATTAGTACTTTTTTGTAATGTTTACTGAAATTAATTCACTTTTATACTTAGAACACTACTTACATCTAACATTGTACACTAGAATAGTGAAGAATTAAGAAGGCTTCACTGTACATTCTCTTCCTGGTTTCTAGTATCTCTACTTTCTATCACTGTTCTGGTTGTTGCCCTTAGGTTTTTGTTTGTTTGTTTGTTTTTGTTGATCATGGGGCTTGAACTCTGGGCCTGGGCGCTGTCCCTCAGCTCTTCAGCTCAAGGCTAGCACCCTACCACTTGAGCCACAGCGCCACTTCTGGCTTTTTTTTTTTCTTTTTTTTTCTATTAATGTTTTTTTGTTGTGAAAATACCGTACAGAGGTGTTACAATTACATGAGCAAGGTAATGAGTACATTTCCTTTTTTTTTTTTAATTGTGAGAATACCATACAGAGGAGTTACAATTACGTGGGCAAGATAACGAGTACATTTCTTATCAAGCATTGTTACCTCCTCATTGTTTCCCCTTCCCATCCCTTCCCATACTCCTCCCCTCCCCCCACCTGGTCCGCCCCCCACCCCCTACCAAAGTTGTTAAGTTCTTTTTTCGACATATGGCTTTTTTTTCTGCTTATGTGGTACTGAGGAATCAAACCCAGGGCCTCATGCATGCAAGGCAAGCGCTCTACCACTGAGCCAACTTCCCAGCCCTGCTCTTAGGTTTTGAGATTTCATATGTACATTCTAATTATATTTCCAATGATTTGTCATCATGTCCTATAAAAAATAGTCATGCTTTGCATGCACACACTTCATGGAGAAATAAAAGATGGCCTAGGGCTTTATAAAATACAGAAGATTGAAAATGATCATTGAACTTCTTTGTAACTATTGTTAATGAACAATGAATAATGTGAAATGAACGTTCTTGGTTATCCTGATCTCTAACAGCCTTGAAAGAATAAACACTGATGCTACATCAGCAAGAAATCGAGAATAATCACATCAGTATTCCTACCTTGCTTCCTCCTCCCACCCCCAAATACTTTTGGCTCCTGACAGCTTCATAAGGGTCTCATTTCTCTTACTTGGACACAAGAAATTAGTCTTATGGATACAGTCTGAAAAGATAGACAAGACAGGTAAAAGTGGTAAAGTGGGTTCCAGACCCAGGTCTTTCATGGATTGAATGGGTTCGCAAGTCAGTCAGTCACCTGGCATCCCTTGTCTTCTAAAATAGCAAAGGACAACCTTAATTTCTTAACCTCCTTCAAATCTTCTTCTTAAGGCACTGATGATTGCTTCAAGAAGAAATTGTAAGACTGAGATCTCACATCAGTACTAATGCAAGGGGCAGAGCAGATGGAAAGGTGTTCCTAGAGGCAGTCAGGAAGGTATACAGTCTAGAGAAGATTTAAGGATCATAATAAGCTACCATGCACCCCTAAGTCTAAGCAAATCCAATAAAAAAATCATCCAAGAGATGATACACCGGATGCTCCTAGCACCCTGCTCTTTGGAGACCACTGATGAGTGTGTTGGGATTCCAAGGGGGCACAAGGTTAAACAGCTATGCAATTCATTTGATTGAAGTGAAGGTTTGAGCCACAGTAGGACTCAGGCTGAGCAAGTGGCTAATCATGTTTAAATGTGTTTGCTGTTGCCTGATCTACATCCTGTCCTGCATCCTTGTCCCTGAGTCTTCCACCCACTTCCTCCTGCTTCCTCCCAGCCCGAGTCAGGGCAATATATTCTCTGCAGAGGACTCCAGGTCCATTCCTTCTTAGTCTAATAATGTACTTCATTCATTTTTCTCCTCTGGATTTCAACTAACTCGTCCTGACTAATGGTATTCCCTAGAAACAAGCTCCTTTTGGCATTGAAAGATAATCTAGCCACATTCTTGTTTTTGTTTTTTTTTCTGGTTCTTATCTTCCCTTCCCTTCCCAAATAAGCATCCTAAAGGAACAGAGTATGTTTGTTGTCTCTTTGGTCTGCAACCTTCCGTCCTCTCTTTTTCTTTTGTATATTCTTTTAGTGAGCTGATGATGGGTGATCAAATTACCCAATACCAAACACACGATGATCTCTTCCCACATAGCACTAATGACTCCCTTCTCCTCTTCTCCTCCCGCTCCTCCTTTGTCCTCCAAGATACCATTTTTCTTTTCCTTGAGTGGCTACCTTTATCCTCTCACACAGATAGCCTTTCTCCTACTCATCTCAGTGTTTCACCCTTCATCTCTGTGCAATCTAGCCACAGCTACTCTTTCCTGTGCTGGAAGACCCCTAAGGACATATCTCAGCTCACATCTGCCTGTCTATGGAGAGCAGACCCATGTCCCAACTGAACATCTCTACTGTGATCTTGCTTAAACACAACTGATTTAAAACACCAGGAAATGAAACTCAAAACCTTCCTTATCAAATCATTTCTCTTCTATTTTGTTTCTGAGTCCTATGAATCTGGTAATACCTTCAACTATTCTTGTTTTTTCTTTTCCCTTCGCCATCCAACCCCAATACCACTAAGTACTCAGGACCTGCCATTTCTCCTAAGCAGTCTCTTGTCAGTAACAAGTCAGTGCTTTTCCAGCTCATTCTCTAGACAATGCAATGAAAAGCATATATTTTTTTTAAGTTTCACATTACCTTCTAGATGAAATTGACCATTCCTCTGTATGGAACATGAGATCTTTTCTTATCTAGCTTTTGCCAGGCTCTGTCCAACCCCCTTTCCTGCTAAACACCAACACATATTCATCCTGCTACCCAGGTCATTTTCCCAAGCACCATGCCATTCTCTTCATTTTGGGGGGGAGGGGTCCAGTCGTGGGCCCCCGAACTCTGGGCCTGGGCGCTGTCCCTCAGCTCTTCAGCCCAAGGCTAGCGCTCTACCACTTGAGCCACAGTGCCACTTCTGGCTTTTTTCTTTTTGCTTACATGGTGCTGAGGAATCGAACCCAAGGCCTCAGGCATGCAAGGCAAGCGCTCTACCACTGAGCCACCTTCCCAGCCCACGCCATTCGCTTTAAAAGTGTATGATCTCTGTATTTAGGAGCCTATCTTTTCCCTATTCCTATAGGTCCTTGAAAAAGTGCCACCACACCAGTCAGTAGGAATCTGGGTCAACATACCAAGGAGAAATGGCTTTATTTTCTTGTACTTCACACACACTAAACATTTGTTATAAGTCCCACCGGACCTAAAAGATAAAAACTTAATCTAAGTTGATTAGATTGTTGATAAACTTAACCCCCCCCCCCCCACCTCTCTGGTGCTCAGGGATTTTATCCAAGGTAATATCTGCTTTGATATTATCAAACTGCCATTTTACTAAAGTATACATTATGTCTTTGATCCTAAGAAGTCCATTTGACATGGCTGTTACCAAGACGTTCCTTATTGCTATTCATACAGCCCCTACTTTTCTAGCAATGAATTCCACCATTTCCCTCTCTTTCCTTGTCTCAGCTGTGACCAACCTATTCTTAATACCCAATCTTACTTCTCTTTGCAAATGAAGACACAGGAAACTCAGTCCATGTCTAAGACTCCAGCTCCCTAAGACTCCTTCCAACCCCTTTTTCTCGAGGTTCTACCAAGGATCAGAGTCTTCTTGCTGAAGGCTACCCAATTCCTAGGGCTCATCCCATGAAGGACTGGGGGCTCACTGCTATTTCAACACCCCTGGCAATTCCTCCAGCCCTTCTCCACTCCAGGAATTCATAGACTCTGTCTCTGTCTCCCTCTCTCTCTCTCTCTCTTTCTCTCTCTCTCTCTCTCTCTCTCTCTCTCTCTCACTCTCTCTCTCTGTCTCTCTCAGTCTCTCACTCTCTCGTTCTCTCTCAAGCTCTATAAACAGAAGCTTTTCTCTACTGAGTTCACATTCTACCTTATCTGGCCTCCATACCTAGAGGCAAGTCCTTCCACTAAAGGCCTGACCTTTAGAACTTACAGACCCATACTGGACTCGAATTTCTAGGCCTCCTGCTTTCACATTCCTTCCCGAAGGCTATAAAACAGAAATGCTTGACAGCCTGAAGACAGGGGAGGTCCAAAGGTGAGGGGGAGGGACTGGACACGGCAGGAGTGATATTCAATCCTTACTTCTTGTTGGAAGCCATTCCAGGTTCTCTCTACCTACTTGAGCTTCTCCTAGAAACCCACCCTGACTCCACAGTGACTGGCCTTTGCTCCCTCTGGTGTGGATGCTGTGTCTCTTGTACTTTGGGGAGGTATATTGCAGGTTTCAGTATAATCATTTGTCTTAGCCAATTGACTCTGAAGTT